GTTGGAAGAGGAGGAGGGGAGGCCAAGTGATGGCTTGGTCGAGAGAAATGAAAACCCTCACTTCGAAGTTGACGTCGGTTGGTGCATCCCGACTGCCTGGCTGGGGTCCTAAGGACGGTGAACACGTTTGGTTGGACACACTCGCTGATATGGCTTGGAGCCGACCCCAATGGCGTTTGTGTTGTGAGTTCCTTTGTTCATCCCCCTCCAATCACGATCTCACTTCTTAGACATAGCATAACTCTCTTTTACGACATGATAGCCAGCCGTTAGCTCTCCGGAACGATGTCCATCCGTTACTGGAGACTCAGCGGGCGTGCAACTGTTTGTTTTCCTTTTCTTGTCTTTTATATTGCGGCACAATAGCTGAGGTGTTTTCTACCTCCAGCTAACGTGTAATGATGATGATGATGATGACTACTAGGTCAGTGTCTACACAAGACGAACATGTTTGGTGCAGCAAACTCAGGGTCATGGTTTCAAGAAACAGGAAACATGTTGTCCCCTTAGCCCATTTGGTAAACGCAGACGGAAGACAAAGGTTGCGATATGTTAATAGTTTCATTATTCTTATCAGTTGTAAACGTATTATAAAACACGTCGTGCTGACAGACAATCACGTGGATCAATCGAAGGCCTTCAAATTGCTATTCATCAACCGCAATTGGTAAGCAGTGAGATATTACTGCTTGCCGGAAACCGGCCAATGCTTTGCGCGCAAAAACAACTTAGGCAGTCTATCAGATTGCCTTGGTTTTGACTGCTCAACTTTGATTCACCTGTATATTTTCGTTCCACATGCGCATACATAATTTTTACCCAAATGTATTACGTTTGCGACTGATGAGAATAATCGAAATGTTAACATATCACAACCTTTTTCTTCTGTCTGCACTGACCAAACCATTAATTTCATCGTTCAGCCAGATCTCAGTTATTATTATCAGGTCCATAATCATCGTATTATTGTGCATCAACTGCTAAGCTTAGCCAGAAGTTCGCTGAGCCGCCGGTGCGAAGTTTAAATCAGTTGTCCACAGCCGCGTTTGCCGAGAGCTTAACTAAATGAATGTATCTACATAATTGTAACACAATGAAACTCGCAAAGAGCTCCGGGCAAAACTCAGTGCTAGCCTGAAGAGAGACTGCGAATCCTGGTGGTCTCATCGTGCATCAGAGATGGAAATGGCTGCTGCCCTTGGTAACCATCGTAAGTTATTCCGGCTGATACCGGAAACGGGCAGTAGGAGACCTGGTGTTAGTGAAACTATACGTAACGAGAGTGGACAGCCTATCCACAACTTATAAAAAGGAGTAGAGCGTTGGGCTGAGCACTTTAAAGGACGTTTTAATCGGTTGGAATGCTTCGATTCCTCGCCGGACACTGATCGCCCAGCTCCGTGCACTGTCTTTTTGGATCCACCTTCTCGCTCAGAAGTCGAACGTGAGATCGAACAGTTGAAGTTAAATAAAGCCGCGGGACCTGAAGATCTTCCTCCAGCCCTCTTCTAATTCGAGGGACCTGCTCTGGTGGATAATTTACACAAGTTATTAGTCAAACTGTGGGGTCAGGAAACTGTCCCAACCGATTGGAGCCGCTCCGTCATAGTTCCACTTTTCAAGGGACGCTAACGATCGGAATGCGGCAGCCATAGAGGAATCAGTCTGATCTCCATCGCCTCCCAACTGCTTGCCTCTGTAATCCTTCACAGACTGACTGGCACTCTTGAAAGCCAGATTCGTGAAGAGCAAGCGGGTTCCGTCGAGGTCGTGGCTGCATTGACCAGAGCTTCACTTTTCGTCAGTTGTTGGAGCACCGTCACATTTATTGGCAGCCCACCGTTGTCGTGTTCCTCGATATTAAAGATGCATTCGATTCGGTGGATAGACATGCACTTTGGGACTGTCTACTCAGGGAAAGTGTACCTGACAAATATGTGAAAATTATCCGAGCATCATTTGCACGTAGCTCGGGATGAGTTAGGGCTTACGGCAAGTTGTCGTCGCCCTTTAATATCTCTAGCGGTGTGAGATAAGGATGCCCTCTGTCACCTTTCCTCTTCACCTTCGCTATTGACGATGTCATGGAAATCGCGTTCACAAGACACGACTTAGAAGGTGTGGATCTGCTCCCAAGAGAACGAATTTTTGACAGAGTATGCTGATGATATCGCCCTAATCTGTGAAAGCTCTCAGACTTGTCAAGCGGCACTGGACAGATTAGCACTGGCTGTCCGTCACTTCGGGCTTTGCTTCGCACCCTCGAAGTGCAAAGCGTTTCTCCAAGATTGGTCTGGACCGCCTCCTTCGCTGACTCTTGGTGGTGATCAGCTAGAAGTCGTTCAAAAATTCAACTACCTTGGAAGTTGTATCAGCGCCCCTTGGGATTGAAGATGAGATCACGAACCGTATGGCATAAGGTCGGGGCGCTTTTGCTAACCTTCGCCACTTATGGCGCCGGCGCGACATCACTCTCGCCCTGAAGGGTAGAGTGTAAAATGCAGCGGTACGTTCGATCTTACTGTACGGTTGTGAAACCTGGCCGCTTAAAGCAGCGGACCTGAAGAGGCTAGTTACGTTCGACCACCGGTGCCTTCGTAATTTAACTCACATCTGGTGGGAACACTGCGTGAGCAACGAGCGTGTTCGACTCCTTGTTTACGGCACAGGAAATGAAATGAACCGCTTAGCACCGTCATTTCGCGCACCAGGTTCCGATGGCTCGGCCACGTGTTACGCATGCCAGCCCACCGACTCCCGCGACGTGCGTTGTTTGCGCGCTGGGGGTGTGGACGGAAGATGAGGAGGGGTGGTCAAGCGATGACTTGGTCCAGAGGAATGAAGGCCCTCACTTCGGAGCTGGTCTCGGTTGGAGCTTCTCGGCTCCCTTGTTGGGGTCCGAAAGACGATGAAAACGTTTGGTTGGACACACTTGCTGATATGGCTAGGAGCTGACCTCATTGGCGTTCGTGCTGTGAGTTTTTATGTCCCACCCCACCCCGCTTAGCCTCCCCCTTCAACTACGATCTCATTAGTTAGCCTTATATAATGTGGCATAGTAAGTTTTTAATGCACATTAGCCGGCTGTTTGCCTACGGGAACGATGCCCATCCGTTACCGGTAGCTCAGCCGGTTTGCTACAGTTTTTCGCCCCTTTTTTCTGTGTATTGTCGCGCAGTAGCTGAGGTGTTCCGCACCTCTAGCTAACGTGTATGATGATGATGAGGATGAACATTGAGTAAAACTAATGTAGCATGTGACTTCTGAGAACAAACTGTAGTAAAAGAAACTTTACTTTAGAATGAACAGCAATGTGCCGTAATCCGGGTGACCAACAAAACCACAATGTTCAGTGCACCGTTATTATCCGACGCGTTAAACAACCAAACTGTTACAAAGTGGTTACTTAGTTCATAACCACTGTCAGAAGTGCTATCGTTCAAGGTTTCGGAATTCCGGCGATCACGATATTTAGATGCACTTTCATCTTAGACGTAGTTAAGCTTATGCTGACAGATAGTCAGTAAAGGTGTAATCTATAGCGAAGTGTGAAATAAGCCACTAACTTTTAAGACCCGGTGAAGCTGACCAAGGTTATCTGCAAGCAGTAATCCGAACTAAAATTAAATAGTTTCGCTCAACATTTAACTGGTTCGTTTATTTTCAATCTACAAAGCGAATCATTGTGTTAAGCTGTGCCAGCTGATACTGTCTAGGAATATATTATTTTGGGGCTGCATGATTAAATTTTTCACCTTGCTACAGTGTATGTGGTCTGTGTAAGCAAAAGTCATACCGGGTTAAGCAACGGGTAAAGAGCTCAAGTCATTCAAATGTTTCCACGAAAGTTTTCGATACTTAGCCCACCAGCATGTGTAGCATAATTAGGTTAGCATATGATACCATTTTTCGAGAGATTTTCTAACTATTTGCCATCAAATATTTATGAACAAATCGCCTTATCGCGATTGTGTTATGCAGCGTTCATGCAGATTAGCTGCGGAGTGAAGGTAAATGGATGCTCATTAGGATACCAGGATCATTAATCCCACTTTTTTGGTTCATACCTGGCCATTCATTACTTACAAATGATGTTGCGAACGCCGCTGCGACAAACCATGTCACTTGGCTGAGTTCCATCGTCTTTTTAACCTGGAAAGCTGAGTCATTGATAAAAATTGTTTAATGGAGTCGGCAAGTGTCTTAGACCATCATCTTTACCGTGACATACGTACGACAGTATTGTCCTTTTTTCTGACCACATGGTGGGGATAACGTTTCATCTTGCTTTTCTGTGAGACTGGATTGTGTGCATGTGAAGTTTCCGACACGTAACACCGAATCCTCCCCGCTGGTTTGCACCGATGTTTGATCCATCCAGCTTGTTGAACGTGCTGCGTCAGAGACACAATGATTCAACATCTGGTAGAGTAGAACTACCAAGTAGTTCAAAATGACTCACTTTTCACAAGTTATCCCCAGGTAACTTGGCTAGAGAGACTTCCGATTATCGACTGACACGGTCTTGTTTGCTGAGCGTGATATATTTAAATTCTTATATTGATGAGGTAGCCATATGTATAATCTATTCCTCTTTACGTGGTTGTTTCAAATTTATCATTTATTTTCATGATGGTGGTGTAACCTTCTCTTTGAAATTAGCATAGCAGGCATAAAGAAGAATCGCAAGCACGAAACACATTGCTATGGTACTTTAGTCTTCGGATAGAACGAGAAGTCAGCTAAACTACGGAGGTTACTTGTATTTTAGCAAACTTTAAAGCGTAATGAATTAGAAATAAAGCACTTGTAAAATCCGTACTGCATTATAGAGGAGTTATGGTAACCCCAAGTTGGTTGCAGCCATCTCCTTGAAGAAAAATAGCAAATTTGGCGTACTTTTAACCACTTATTCATAGCTGTATATCCAAGTCATTATCCTCGTCTTGACTAACACAGTTGTTTATAAAAATTTATGACATTATTTTCACTACAACTAGTGTTAAGAGCTTCTCTGAGGGACGTTACTCTCAACTCGAATGGAGCTTCGCTGAAACTCCTACCCAGCTCTAGAACGCAAGCTTTCAAGCTGTTGCGGAGAGATGGTACCATATCAACCAGTTTCGATCCGAAACACTGGGAGAACCAAAACCGTCAGAGGAAAGTACGACATCGGTTGCTACGGTCCCGAATGTATCGTCATATAGAGCCCAATAGAGCCGAAGATACAATGAAGCCAGCCTCTTCGGTAAAATATCCGGTACCGCAAATGGAAAATTGGTTGACACGGGCACGCCGATCTAAGTCGTCCGGGTCCACCAGTTGGGTTGGGCCATCGGACCGAAGTCGCAGCAACGGCTTGGGTAAAAGGAATGCGAAACGGAGGCGAAGGGTTAGAAACTCCCATTTAAGCGATATTGATGGAATAACAGAATTACAATTGAGCTGTTCGGCTTGCTCTGGTTTATCACAATTCAACACAGCATCGGAATATTCTGGCATGAACTCAAATCGATGGTTGATCATGGGACGCCGAATACCAGATGCCAAGACGAAAACATTTACAAATCAAGTCCAGGTACGTCAGAAATGCCGAATTGTTGTACACCCTATGTCTTCTTCCATAACGTGCTCAATATCGTCAGCTGTTGGCCCCAAGACTGCACTATAGACAAGCTGGGTAAAGAATAAAAACAGCGTGAACACTTAACCCAAGCAGAATTAAGTCAGAAAGAGACACCTGAAAGTAAATAGTATGATTAATAAAGAAGTTCAATTCGCTATTACCTTGGCAACATTTTGTTACCTACACCGGTGGCACATTCCGGTTGTCAAAGATAAATGTATTTTTGTGGTAAACCTTAGAAGCAGAATTATCACTTTTTAGTTTTTGGTAGCATAAATTTACTCTAAGCAACTCTAGATTTGCAAGTCTTGCGAAAGTCAAATCAAAGCCTTACAACGGTTAAAGACTGTTATTCGGGAATTGTGACATCCTCTTTACTGCGCGCAAATTTGAAATGCATTCTAATTGCGACGTCTTCCCGTTTGTTATTTCTCACCATTTCGTCATATACCATCAGCACCTGCCACCTGCGTTCCTCCTCATTTCTCAGTTCAGCTCATTTCTATATTATCTAGGGCCATGTCTAAACTGGCACATGCATGACCGTATGAATTCTGTGCCGTCAGCGTCATCATGGTCAGATCCCGAGCTTGGTAGTTGATTCGCTTTTCCTTCACCAGCTAAATGTGACCTCCATTTATTGGTTGTCTGCCTGTCACTGCGTCTTTTGTCGTTAGTCTGGCTTCGCTGGTACACTACGCCGTCCGGTCCCTGCTGTTTGGGACAAGTTGCTTCCTCCATGTCTGTTACAAAGCTGCTTTCTTTTCTCTCCAGTCTGAGCCAATTCTTCCTTGTCACTCCGACCCGACTGATCATTGTCAGCTCACATCGCTTGAGCTTGATTAGCCTCTTGCCATCCTCTGTGGCACCAGTCACTCTAACCCAAATGGCCATTCATTATTTCCCTAACTACCAACTTGCACTTTAGAATAACCTTTGCTTGAAACTGGAATGTAAAGTTATCCGTATAAGTCGAATCAGAATGAATCTAAGATCCATCGTAAACTGTTGTGCGCTAAGAGTAACCGTAGTACAGGCGCTAGAATTTTGACAAGGAACAATCGTACGCCATATAAATTTGAAGTTGCTAGGGATATTACTCACGGTAACCGAGATGACTGAAGGTGGTATGTAAAATCCTATCTTCCACTTTATTCCGGAGGCGTTTTAAAGCGTACATAGTTGAAAAGATTAATAATGCCAGGTATGACTCTAGAAATACAAGAATTGTTCCTCTGTCCTTGCTGTGGTGGTGCGTTGTATAGTTCGAATATCAACCAGAACTTTATCGGGTGTCACACAAGAAGTATTTTTTCCGTTTTAAGTGCAGTTACGTAAATCAGACTTTTGTTCAAATTTTGCCGCCGTAGTTACTTCCGGTAAATCAGTTGTAGGGGTCTGACGAATGACTCTACTGCACCTCACCAACTGGAACAAATAAACGGAGAGAACTTTATTGAACCAGTAGAAGAGTGCCAAACTGATGGAACGGAGGAGGAACAGCATACTTGGTTGTCTAACTACGTTTTGTTCTGCATTCCAGCATGTCTCAATTTTCTCGGAATTCTTCGCATTGAGATATGGCTAGCTAGCTATAGGCACCCGGAAAATTTTCTCAGATGTTTGTATTCATTATCACTGCACATCCATCTGAGTTGGTCATGTCTCAGCCAACGATCGCCACGGTTCGACAGCTACTAGTGAAACATTTGTGGTGCGGTATTTTGACTGAGTGGTTGATATAAGCGAAAGGCTAAACATAGCAAGCAGTTTGAAGGCAATCTTGCGTCACAATGGAACCGTTTTCAGAGAAGAAGTATATCAGTTTACCCGCATCATCAAAGTTTTCATATAAAATAAGATTATTCCGTAAACAGTATCATTAGAGACTAATGATGTTCCCGCCGACCCTAAAATCTCAAAATGTGTCCCATCGAAAACGATGTAAATATAAGCGAATTGAAGAACTTTCTGAGGTTAGATTTCAGACTCAAAGAGCCAGTTGCAACGTTTATGTTCTTTACGTATAGTTCGTCAGCAATTCAAAAGTTTATTTACAATGTGATTCAGCTTGAGTCTCCAGACAATTCGGACGCCAACAACAAATTCTGGCCTTACCACAAAACGTGATGGTTTAACTTCTTTCCTTTGCATGCATTTTATTTCTGTTTTTGACAGTTGCAATTCTCTTGTCATGTTATACTTGTCGTTAATCTGGCTATGGAAGATGGTGCGACTGCATCTACCATCCTCCGGACAGTTTTAATCACGCCAGAATTTCCGTATCATCGCTCAGCTAGCTTTAGACAAGGGTCGCAATGCACGGTCAGTGAGTTCCAGTTAAAAGTGCAACGATCGTTTACGGGACGCATACGTAAATCCAGAGACAAAAACTAACAATTGTTTAGAATCGCCTGAAGAGCCTTCTGTACGTCAGGTTTGAACTTGAACGATCTTGAACGAACCTGGGTTCCCATCACTCATCTGTGAACACGATGTTTTGCCGCCGTCCTCATTTGCATTTTGTCACACAAACGTGTGTTCACATACGACGCAGATTCATGGGCTATCTAGTGCACTTCATCTTTCAGATCTTACTAGTGCGGATCGCTTTTTATCTCCACATTGTTGTTTTTGCGTCATTCTCGCAAAAACACAATCGAGGAGTTCTTCGAATCACGAACCACACAGACATATTTGTGGTCTCAGAGGAAAGCCAACTACACTGTTCATCTTACTAATCAGCATCCACAGCCGTGGACCATTCATCAAACTAGCTATCTTACACGTTGTCCGTATCGCACAGTCGCTCTGTTTGCCGCGTGAACGATCTAGCCGTTTAAACCTGCCCAGCCTGAGCCAGACGTAGAGAAAGCGACGAACTTGGACATGCAGACAATTCAGCGCACACGCGACGGGCAGGAAACCATAGGCGGTCGAACATCTCTGGGAGTACCATCCATCGACGCAATGGATTGTGGCGATTAATCAAAAGCCTATGTTACCGCATCCAGATGGAGAGAAATTGGTGGCCTTCCTTCGTGCCATAAAAATGGACGGATCGGAATCCAGGGCGGCAGTTACCAAGGCAAGTTCCATCGCAGAGGTTCTAAGCTCACAGTGAATCAGTTAAAGCGACACAATAGCAAATCAGATTCACTGTGATTCTGTTCAGTGTGTATACTCATCCCACTGGTACAGATGACACATGAACAATCGGAGAAGTACAAAAGTCTAGTGGCATTATTTGAACAAATGAGGAGCACCAAAAGCGATTCATTTATAGAAAGCGTGACAGAAAGTAAATCCCAGTCATTCCCATCAAGTCCCGCATTAAAACTGAGGAAGAAGGCTGGGCAGTGCGCTAAAAATGCCTCATCCGTAGCATTAAACGCCAATACTAACAGTTGCGCAAATATGTCTGAAACAGCCGCTGCCAGTTCGATTGCAATGAGCATGGTCAGCGACTCGTCTACTTTCCAAACGGTACCGAATATTCACAAGGGCTTCGACACCAGTGGTGGTTGAAACTTGGTTGCTGCCAGGGGTGACCGAAAACCTAGTTCTTCGGCCACTCTCACTGGACCCATAGTAAATGAAGAAGACAAAGCTGTAACCAAGCAGGCTTCATTGATTTTATATAAACCAGCAGGTCGTTTGAATCCAACCAGAGTTGCACGTAGTATATCAGCGGTAATCTGCACCGACTTTCCAGAATCTACGTCAAATGCCTTAAAAGGCAAACAACTCGATGACTTGAACCAGTGGAACTGCATACTTGACACTATTGATGTTTTAACTAATCCCGTAAATTTAACACGCGTTACGCGTCACCCAAACGCACAGAACTACGATGAAGCAACTCTTCTCCGAGTTGTGTTGACTTCTGGCCATAAATCAGAAGCTGTCCTGTTATCGACAGCTCGCTTCTGGAATGGGTCATGTTCTATCCGACTATTCCTGGATAAGCCGTGGAGTGAGCATAGATAGGTGAAGCACTAGATGGACGAAAACCGGAAGTAATCCGTAAGCAGGATCATTCTTGTACACTACGTTCCCGTGGCTGGAAATCATGATGAGCGCCAAGCGGCCACTCACGACCAGGAGCAATGGCGGTACGTTCGCGAGACATTCTCGCTGGAAAACGTCATAGCGCAATCACTCTCAAGGCTGCGCCGTTTGCCAAACTACAAGGGATGTATCCCGAATATTACAAAGTAGTCCTTCAATCTAGACCATTATCAACAACAATAGTGGAGGGATAATATGCGGGCCTTACTTCCGAGCTCCGGATCAAAGCAACCTCTGCTAAGCAAACACACAAGTGCAGACACTTAGTCAGACCACATACTGACAAGAGTTCGGATAACTTCAATCAACTACCCAACGAAATTGGCGAACACACCCCATGCCATACATCCAAAGTGAGAGGTAAATTGTTAATGGAGGGATCCATGAATCGTACACAGTTGAGTTCGTTATTATCCCACGTAAAAAACAATCAGATGCTTACCTTTCACCGGTCGGCACAACATTTTACCCAAAACAAGTATACCACCATACAGTGCGAAAAACAGAGGAACTTTCACTCATGTACACCAATGTACAAGGTCTCCTGAACAGGCTTTCCGAACTGCGACTACCTCAAGGGTCATGTGCCTGGGAATTCATATTCGTTGCGGAAACCCGGTTGCACTCAGAAATTACCGACGACCAGGTCGCTATAATTGGCATGTCCCTTCTTCGAAACGATCGACCTAACAAAGGCGGGGGTGGGGTAATGTTATACTACCGCCGCGACCTGCAGTGCGAACGGTGGCCGATCCGGAAACGCTGATCATTTACTCACCATGTCGTAGTCTGCGACTGAGACGCAACGACAATTACCTTTTGGCAGTCGTTTATCGGTCGTCAATGCCCACCCCAGAGATGGACTAACGACTGGCATTACC